ACTACTGACACATGTACACACACACTCTGACACATACATGCTACTGACACACTGACACACACACAAACTGACATTACACACACACACTACGACAAATACACTACTTACACACAACACACACACACACACATTACTGACACACAAGATACACACTATTGACACATACACATTACTGAACACACACTACTGACACACATACACACTACTGACACACACACACAACACACACAACACACACGACACACACACACACACACACACTATGACACATACATACTGACACACACACACACACACACACACACCAACACTACCTGACATATGCAACACATACTATACAACAATACTGACACACACACACACAACACACTCACAACACACACATACACACTACTAACACACACACACAATTATCACACCAGCACAATGACTAACAACACTACAAATGAATACACACACACACACACACTACTGAACAACTACACACACACACACACACACAACACACACACACACATGCACACACACACTGACACACAGCACACACTACTGACACCACAAAAAACTACATGCACACACACACACAACTACACAACAACACACACATACTGACACACATATACACTATGACACATACACATACTACTGACACACACATACTACTGACACACATAACATACTGACACACAACACACACACACACACTGACACAAACATACGCATATCACACTACTGAAACACTACAACACACACTACTGCAAACACACACACACTACTAACATAAACAGACATACTGACACACACCCACTGCTACACACACACATACACTACTGACACACACACACTACTGACACACACACTACACAAAACAACTACTGACCAACACACCAACAATAACACTACTGAACACACACACTAAACTGAACACACTACTGACTACACACACACACATACTCATACAACACACACACACACACACACACACACAACACACACTGACACACACATAACACACCTACTGACGTACACAACCACTAACACACCACTACTGACCACACACACACACACTACTGACACACACACACACACAAACACACTACTGACACACACACACAACACACTACTGACACACACCCACACAACCACTACTGACACACACACACACACACATACTGAACACACACTAACACACACATACTACACACGACACACACACACACCACTACGACACACACACACACACACACTACTGACACACACACACACACTACTGACACACACACACACACTACTGACACACACACACACACACACACTACTGACACACACACACACACACTACTGACACACACACACACACACCACACACACACACACACACACTACTGACACACACACATACTACTGACACACACCACACACACACACTGCTGCACACACACACACACTACCACACACACTACGACACACACACAACAACTATGCACACACACAACTGACACACCACAACACACACACACACACACAACTACTGCCACAAATACACACACACACCACACTGCTGACACACACACACACACACACACACACACACACACACACTACTGACACACACACACACACACACAACTACTGACAACACACACACAACACACACAACACACACACACACCACCACTACTGACAACACACACACAACATACTGACACACACAACACACCCACACACACACACCACTATGACACACACCTACTTGACACACACACACACTACACACACACACACACACTACTGACACACACAACACTACTGAACACACACTACTGAACACACACATACTGAACACACACTACTGATACACACACTACTGATACACACACTACTGATACACACACTACTGATACACACACTACTGATACACACACTACTGATACACACACTATGATACACCACATACACACTCACACACACTACTGAACACAACACACTCACACTATGACACACACACACACTCACACTACTGACACACACACACACTCACACTACTGACACACACACACACACTCACACATACTGACACACACACACTACTGACACACACAACACAACACACATACTGACACACACACACATACATACTGACACACACACACACACAACTACTGACACACATACTACTGACACACACACTAGTGACACACACACACACACACACAAACTACTGACACACATACTACTGACACACACACTACTGACACACACACACACACGGGGCCAGGAGCTCGGACTCGACCCCCGCAACCTCAACTAGGTGAGTACACTACTGACATGCACACACACACTGACACACACGATGACACACACACACACACACACACACACACACACACACACACACACAGACTCTACACCATCTACGTCAGTCCCATACTGGAGTATGCAGCACCAGTTTGGAATCCACACCTAGTCAAGCACGTCAAGAAATTAGAGAAAGTGCAGAGGTTTGCAACAAGACTAGTCCCAGAGCTACGGGGATTGTCCTATGAAGAAAGGTCGAGTGAAATCGGCCTGACGACACTGGAGGCCAGGAGGGTCAGGGGAGACATGATACGACATATAAAATACTGCGCGGAATAGACGAGGTGGACAAAGACGGGATGTTCCAGAGATGGGACACAGACACAAGAGGTCACAATTGGAAGTTGAAGACTCAGATGAATCAAAGGGATGTTAGGAAGTATTTCTTCAGTCATAGAGTAGTCAGGCCATGGAATAGCCTAGAAAGTGATGTGGTGGAGGCAGGAACCATACATAGTCTTAAGGCGAGGTATGATAGAGCTCATGGGGCAGGGAGAGAGAGGACCTAGTAGCAATCAGCAAAGAGGCAGGGCCAGGAGCTGTGACTCGACCCCTGCAACCACAAATAGGTGAGTACACTAACACACACACACACACACACACACACACACACACACACACACACACACACACACACTACTGACACACACGCACACACTACTGTCACAGACACACACACACTACTGACACACACACACACACACACTACTGACACACACACACACTCACACTACTGACACACACACACACACTCACACTACTGACACACACACAACAACCACACTACTGACACACACTGACACACACACACACACATACTGACACACACACACACACACACTACTGACACACACACACACACTACTGCACACAACACACACACACACACACACTACTGACACACACACCAACACACACTACTGACACACACACACATACACACACACACCTACTGACACACACACACACACACACACTACTGACACACACAACATCGCACACACACACACACTACTGACACACACACACACTACTGAACACACACAACTGACACACACACACTACTGACACAACACACACACACATACTACAACTTGACACACACACACACACTACTGACACACCACACACACTACTGACACACACACACACACACACACACACTACTGAAACACACACACACTACACACACACACACACACTACTGACACACACACAACACACACTACTGACACACACACACCACAACTACTGACACACACACCACACACACTACTGCCACACACAACTCACCACCACACACACACAACTGACACACACACACACACACTACTGACACAACACACACACACACACACACACTACTGACACACACCACCAACACACCACTACTGACACACACACACACACACACACTACTGACACACACTACTGAACACACACACACTACTGACACGACACACACACCACACACACAACTATGACACACAACACACAACACTACTGACCACACACACACACACACGCACTACTGACACCACACGCACTCACACTACTGTACACAGACCACACACACACTACTGACACACACAACACACACATACTGACACACACATACATACGACACACACACACACACAACACACACAAACATACTGACACACATACTACTGACACACACACAACACACTACTGACACACACACAACACACACACACTACACACACACTACTGACACACATACACACATACTACTGACACACACACTACTGAACACACCACACACACGTGCCAGAGCTGGACTCGACCACACGCAACCTCAACTAGAGTACACTACTGACCACAACACACACACACACTAACTAGACACATCAACACACACAAACATGCACACTACTGACACACACTACTGACACACACACACTACTGACACACTACTGACACATCAACTACCACACTACTGACACACACTACTGACACACACACACGACACACACAACACACACACAACTACTGACACACACACATCACTGACACACACTACTGACAAAACACACTACTGCTCACACACACACTACACAAACACAACACACTACTGACAACACAACAGCACGAACAACCTGAACACACACTACTGACAACTACACAACACTACTGACAACACAAACTACTGACACATGCACTACAACTACGACACACACCAACACAACATATACTTAACATCACAGACACTGTACACTAATTGACACCAATGTACAACAGACACTGACACACACACACTCACACACACACTACTGACACACACAAACACTTACGAACACACAGCACACACACACACAGTTAAACTGACGACACACAACACAGACACACTCTGAACACAAATTCTTTAAACACACATAGTGCACTGAACAATGTATGACTTGAAACACAATTATCGCATCACAAACTCAATAAAAAAAAAACGTAAAACAATACATGCTCACGAAACAAATCAACACAACGCTCATAAAATATACAAAAATATTCCACGCATCAAAATACAGACATTGCGCCTGCGCACATACAATGGATCATTAACGATAGGCGATATCTTCCGATACATCACTATGGATACTTGTACTGTCAATTCGACACTCTGTACTGATACATTGAACATCATACTGATACACAGACACTTGTACTGATACACAGACACTCATACATGACACACTTAGACAAACAAACACTTCAAAACCCAGCAACAAACATTCTCAATTTTCATTGGTTTTAAAATTTACGAGAAAATTAAGATATTTTTCCTATGCTTGTAACTAGCAAGATTTTTAAAAACACGTGTGCAACTCAAGGAGCATATGTATGCAACTGGAGGGACACATGTATGCAACTTGCAGACCAACACAGTGACAAAGACACAGTAAAACAATTACTTCATGAAGCTTTACTCTAAGGAGCTTTGTCCAAGTTCCACCAACAGCAAAATAACATTAAACAAAAGGTGTACTTCGCCCATGTGTCATTTAGCTTAAAAGTATGTATGCTGTGCTTAGGTCTTGTTAAGGGAAGCAGGATATTTCCATGCAACATTCACCTTGTGTGAATTAGTACAAAAATGACTTAGTTTCGCAAATTTCGTAATCTACTCCTGCGTTTATCTTGCATATTCCACCATTTAAGTTATGTATTATGAAAATTGCTTACTGTGCTACTCATTAACAACAATGGATTTAGTTGCCTCGTGGACAGTGGTCAGAGTGTAGAAAGTCTCAGTAGTAGCCTCACACTTCAACATGCTGCTGCCTGGCAGTGTAATATTTTATTAGGATTCATCTGGATAATTTATTCAGCCTACTTTACATAAGCAAATATGAAAATATGGTAAAACTCTTAAGAGGAATGGAATGAGCTTCTGGGTACAATTTTTTACATGACTAGTGGTTTTATGCTAAAGGATAATTAATGTACACTAGGTAAAGAACAATTATTAACAAATTTACACACCAGCCATCTCCCACCAAAGTATAGAAATCCCAAAAATAAGAGAAAACCCTTTTCATCATTCAATCACTGTCCTGCGAGTAGTGTGCAAGTCCCATAGTTCAGATGGACCTCTGAACTGAAACATCCTCACGCACATCAATTAGCTAGATTGAGAATTAATACATGCTGTTATACAAGACATAAAATAATAACAATATCATACCAACAAGAACAGTAGTGTGACGATGAACAAATTTCAAGTCACGGTGTAAGACTTTCAGACACTGTACGAAATCTGAGGTAGTAGACTCTGGACTTAAAGTAGCAAAACCACCATCTCCTCCAATAACCTGAGCAGCACCAACAACAACACATCTGGAAGATAAAATTAACATTACAAGTTTTATATCTACTTGGCAGAAAATTTACCCTGCATTTCTTTTTGAATAAAATTAATGAAAATAATCGGAAGCATTGATAAATTCTCAAGAGCAGGTGTATACTAACATGCTGATGCACTACTCTCACTTGAGTGACTGATAAAAGAATTGTGATACTAACCCATAATACAACTTTTAAATGTCACTTAATACAGTATCAAATATGCGCCAAGAGGAATGCTGTATGTGCTAGCTGGCTGTATGTGCTAGCTGGCTGTATGTGATAGCTGGCTGCACTACTTCATATTGAAATTATTATTTTGAAAAATAATGCTAAATCCTCATAGGTGATACAACAATGACATGACACACTGGCTAGAGTTAGTGAAGTTTGGGGTCAGATAGGTGGGTGAAATAAAAATTCAAGATGGTGTAAAACATCAGTTTCCTTTGGAAAAGTCAAAATGGGTCCACTTTAAAAGGAAGTGAATCAGTGAAGGCAGGCAGGGAGGTAAGCAGGAAGGCAGTGAAGCATGGAGGGGCAGGGAGGGAGACAGTGAAGCATGGAGGGACAGGGAGGGAGACAGTGAAGCATGGAGGGACAGGGAGGGAGACAGTGAAGCATGGAGGGACAGGGAGGGAGACAGTGAAGCATGGAGGGGCAGGGAGGGAGACAGTGAAGCATGGAGGGGCAGGGAGGGAGACAGTGAAGCATGGAGGGGCAGGGAGGGAGACAGTGAAGCATGGAGGGACAGGGAGGGAGACAGTGAAACATGGAGGGACAGGGAGACAGTGAAGTATGGAGGGGCAGGGAGGGAGACAGTGAAGTATGGAGGGGCAGGGAGACAGTGAAGCATGGAAGGACAAGGAGACAGTGAAGCATGGAGGGACAGGGAGACAGTGAAGCATGGATGGACAGGGAGGGAGACAGTGAAACATGGAGAGAGAGTGAAGCATGGAGGAACAAGGAGGGGCAGGGAGGGAGACAGTGAAGCATGGAGGGACAGGGAGGGAGACAGTGAAACATGGAAAGAGAGTGAAGCATGGAGGAACAAGGAGGGAGACAGTGAAGCATGGAGGGACAAGGAGGGAGACAGTGAAGCATGGAGGGACAAGGAGGGAGACAGTGAAGCATGGAGGGGCAGGGAGACAGTAAAGCATGGAGGGACAGGGAGAGAGAGAATGAAGGACAGAGGGGCAGGGAGGCACACTGAGCCCCCTCTCCTGTCGAGGCCAGGGCCTCCCTCACTGGCCCCCCTCCCCCCATCTAACCACCACTCACAGTTAACACAAAGTAAATAAATCTACTGTATAATTCTTCACCATGTTTATCAATTAAATACAAGTTCTTTTATGCATGCATAAAAGATACCGAGTCTGAATGCAAGAGATAAAAAAAAAAGATAAAAAATATATCACTTAAATGCATGTTAATGGACAAAATACAGAATTACAATTTTTTTCCTCCATTTTGTACGAGACTTCCAACATTTGTCCAGCCAATTTTGTCTGATACTGATGAACTTGTAAACAAGAGATTTTACTTTGTAAACATTCGATGAAAAGCATCTCCACAAAGCGGAAGATGGTTAAAATGGATAAAAAATTTAGCCGGACAAAGGCTCAACACATACATTAAATGGGGTATCCCATTTAAATAGCCATGAAGCAGACCAAATCTGTTGTACTGATTGGCTATCCAGTTCAGTCATGCATTTGGTAAAATGAACCAACTCCACTTAATCACAAGTTTGTACACTCCAAGAGTCATCCTGGGCATGGCCATGTTCACTGTTCATGGGCAGCAAGGCCAGCCAATGATTGCCCACATCGTTTGTTATAGTCTGTGTGCTTGCACTCACACTGTCATCTCAATTTTCCTCTGGATTAAGTGTTTTTAATAATTTTATTCATTAAAATGAAGGTTAACTCTCACTAATCTGGCATCATTGGGACCTGTAGGGTGTTGAATTAGTAATTTTGCTGGATCACAGAGTGGTCAGGTTAGAATACAGTGAAGCCTCGGCTTAGGAACTTAATAAATTCCGTGACCTTGTTTATATGCCGAGTCAAGTTTCCTCATTTAAATTAACTGAAAAGCCATTAATCCGTTCCAGTGGAATTTCTGCTCTCAGAGGCAGTCATGGGCATCTGACATTTATTGTGTTCTCTCTTAGTGCACTTGTGGCACCCCTGCTTTTCATTGGGGGAATATTGCACTGCCTGCTGAGTCCTTTGCTTTTGTAGGGACTGATTTTCGAGTGCAAATTTGGTACTAATCCCTCTAGGATTTTCCAGGTGTATATTATCATGCATCTTTCCTGCCTGTATACCAGGAAATACAAGTCAAGGAACTTCAATCGCTCCTAGTAGTTTAGGTGCTTTATCATGCTTGTGTGTGCCATGAAAGCTCTCTATACACTCTCCAGCTCAGCATTTTACCTGTCTTGCCGTCAGTGTGCAGCAATATTCCAGCAAAGAGAGAACAAGTGACTTTAACCCTTTGACTGTCGCGGCCGTATATATACGTTTTACGAGGTACCGTGTTTGACGTATACTCGTAAATTCTAGCGGCTTCAGATCAAGCAGGAGAAAACTGGTAGGCCAACATGTGAGAGAATGGGTCTGTGTGGTCAGTGTGCACCATTTAAAAAAAATCCTGGAGCACGCAGTGCATAATGAGAAAAAAAAAATCTCAGACCGTTTTTTTTAATTAAAACGCCGATTTTGTGGTCTATTTTCATATAGTATTTATGGTTGCATTCTTGTTTTCTTGGTCTCATTTGATAGAATGGAAAATATATTATAGAAATTGAGGTGATTCTGATTGATTTTACTATAAAAAGAACCTGGAAATGGAGCTCAAAGTAGGGGAAATGTTTGATTTTTGCCAATGTTCAAAAGTAAACAAATGATGTCATTGTCCAATAAATGTCCAACTAGCCATTCTAATATGCAGTCATGAATGGGTTGATGTTATTTATACAATTATTACATTATTGCAGTAGACTGCATAATAGTAAGTCTTCTATTTTTTATTTGAATAAAAATTCAAAATAGAAAGCAAGAGTAATATCAGAGGGGCCTGGAGATATGACTGATGAACAAAGAAAATGTTATTTTAGAGCCAGGAATGTCTGCATTGTTCATTCTGGACCTTATTTTGAAATTGTCATTTTTAATTTTCGTGAAATTGGCCAAATTGCAAATTTCTGACCACATTATTGGGTAGTTGAAATCAGTAATTGGGCAGTTTCTTGTACTCAATCGATAAGAAAAAATGGAGTTCTAAAGAAATAGCTATGAGTTTGGTCGACTGGAACAACAGAATTAGCCGAAAATAGGGCTCAAAGTGGGCGAAATTGCCGATTTGTAAATATCGCCGAGGTCGCTAACTTCGCGAGAGCATATTATTATTATTAAAAAGAAGCGCTAAGCCACAAGGGCTATACAGCGCTGCAGGGTAGGGAAGGAAGCGAGGGTATTGGGTGGCAGAAGGGAGGAGGGATGATCAGTAGGTTACAGAAAACAGCGGGGCAGGGGATAGTACGGGGGTAGAGGGTAGCAAGAGATTGAAGTAGAAAGGGCTGAAGGTATCAGAATTTGTGAAGTCAGTCAGTTGTTGTCAAAAAGTCAATGAGAGAGTCCGGATGAAAGGTGGGTCCATCAGCGAGAAGGGAAGGTAAAGAGAGAGCAGCGGAGCGTAGACGACGACGGAGGTAAATTCTGCGTGCTCGTTGATAAAGTGGGCAGTCCAACAGAATGTGGCTGACTGATAATGGAGCTTGGCAATTCTCACAGAGAGGAGCAGGGCGCCTCTCCATGAGATATCCATGAGTAAGACGAGTATGGCCAATGCGAAGACGGGAGAGAGTAGTCTCCCAACCTCGACACTGGTGATAAGAAGACGGCCAGTAACCTATACTCAGTTTAATAGATTGAAGTTTGTTGCCGAGCATAGTAGACCAACGCTGTTGCCAACGGGTGTGAAGGTGGGAAGATATTGCAGCAAAATAGTCCGTAAATGGAATACCTCTATATGAAACTGGTAGGTCATGTACTGCTGACCGCGCAGCAGTGTCTGCCTGTTCATTGCCCTGTACGTCAACATGACCAGGGACCCAACAAAAAACAATATCTTTATGCTTGGTAAAGATGCGGTGTAGCCAAAGTTGGATACGGAGGACTAAGGGGTGAGGTGTATCAAATTTCTGTATAGCCTGTAAAGCACTAAGGGAGTCTGAGACAACCACAAATGATGACACAGGCATAGATGCAATACGGGTAACTGCTGCAGGGATGGCATACAATTCAGCAGTAAAAATACTAGCCAAAGATAGTAAATGCCCACGTACGACGCTGTCCGGAAACACTGCTGCGAATCCTACGCCGTCAGAAGACTTAGAGCCATCTGTGTACACAGCAATGGCATGAGAATGAGAGTGGAAGTGGTCAAGAAAAAGAGAGCGGGAAGCGACCGTAGACAGTTGGGCTTTCGAGCAAGGGAGAGAGAAAGAACAGACTCGAACAGCTGGAACTTCCCAGGGGGACAGGGAAAAGTGAGATGCTACACGAACATAGAAAGGTGGTAATTGAAGAGAAGACAAGAGCGAATGAAGGCGAAGAGAGAAGGGACGGAGTAAACAGGGGCGGCGAACAAATAAAGAATGTCTACTAATATCAGTGACCATTCTACAAATGGAAGGATTGCGGAGATCATGAGAGCGTACATAGTAGCGAAGGCAATGGGCATCACGGCGATCGGATAAGGATGGAACGTTCGCTTCTGCCTAGAGGCTCTCAACAGGGGAAGAGCAAAAAGCACCAAGGCATAAATGTAATCCTTGGTGATGAATGGGGTTAAGGCTAGAGAGAGTAGCAGGAGATGCCGCTGAATAGATCTGGTCACCATAATCAAGTTTCGATAAAATGAGGGTGGAATGTAGGCGAAGGAGGGTTCGACGATCAGCTCCCCACGAAAGATGAGCAAGGGTTTTAAGAAGGTTCAGCCGGCTGTGACAAGTTGCCTTCAGAGAGGTAATGTGAGGTTTCCAGGATAACCTACGGTCAAAGAGGAGGCCCAGAAACTTGACTATCACGTTCAGGGATACGGGAGCCATAGAGGTACAAAGGATGATCGGAGATGACAGAGCGTCTAGTGAAAGTAATTTGGTGGGTTTTAGTGCTGGAAAATTTAAACCCATGTGTGGTGGCCCAATTGGAAACACGGTCGACCGCATGCTGGAGAGAAACTGTAATGAGGTGACAGTCGGAGCCTGCACAGGCAATAGCGAAGTCATCAACACAGAGTGATGACCAAATATTTGATGGAAGACTAGAGGCCAAATCATTAATAGCAAGGAGAAAAAGTGTTGTGCTCAGAACACATCCCAGGGGAACACCTTCAGCTTGGATAAAGTCTGGGGAGAGCACATTATTAACCCGAACACGGAAATGCCTGTCAGTTAAAAAGTTCTTAAGGAAGGATGGTAGATTGCCTCGAAGGCCTAAGGAGTGGGCTTGGGCTAAAATATTATACCTCCAAGTTGTGTCATATGCCTTCTCAAGGTCAAAAAATATGGCAATAACTGAGTGGTTATTCGTAAAGGCATTACGAACATACGTATCCAAGCTTAGTAAGGGGTCTATGGTAGAACGTCCCTTACGAAAGCCATATTGACGAGTGGAGAGACTGTTGTGTGTCTCTAAATACCACACTAAATGTCTATTTACCAGGCATTCCATCACTTTGCAAACTGCACTGGTAAGAGCAATGGGACGATAGTGGGAGGCTTCATGTCCCATAGTGCCTGGTTTGCGGAAAGGGAGAACAATGGCAGATTTCCACAGCTGGGGAAGAACTCCTTGTGACCAAATAAGATTGTAAAGGCGTAATAGGACTGCAAGGGCTGACTGATGTAAATATTGTAGCATACGAATATGAATGTCGTGGGGCCCGGCTGCCGATGATCGGCAAGCTGAGTGTGTTGCCTCCAGTTCTAAAAACAGTTAGGTGTGAGTAAAGGTTCCAATTTGCCTGATCAAATTGCCAGCGTGGGATGCGAAGAGGCGGTGAATATGAAGGGGAAGTAAGAATGATTGGGAAATGATCGCTGTCATGTAAGTCCGGGAGAACAGACCAAGTGAAGTCTAATGCGGCGGAGGAAGAGCAGACTGAGAGATCGATGCAAGAGAGAGTGTGAGTCCGAGGATCAAAATGGGTGTGAGTACCTGTATTTAAAACATGGAGGGGGTGGGTGGCAAGAAAAGCCTCTAACTGAATGCCACAGGAATCACAGTGAGACCCCCCCAGAGGAAATGGTGGGCATTAAAATCGCCAAGTAACAGAATCGGTGGCGGTAATGACGAAACAAGAAAGGCAATATCCGGAATGGATAATGCCCGAGAAGGAGAGAGATATGCAAGTGGATACGGGCTGCTGTGTAATGCAGCGAGGTACGAACAAATAGCTGATGGTACGGAATATCAGTGCGTAGAAAAAGGGCACTTTCATTAAAGGTCCCTCAGGAAAAGGATCTGAAGAATACAATAAATTAAGCCTGAGATGGGAGAGATAACGCGAGTGTAATTTTGGTTCCTGAAAACCCAAACCCCAAACCGGGGAAAAAAACGGGGAATTAACATCTAAAAGCTCACCCCGATTACCCGAGGCCGCTTTTATATTCCACTGAAAATGGGCCCAAGTTGGGCAATGATAAAGATACCTGAAATCCGCGGGGAAAGGGGTTTCCTCCCAGACTAGGGGGGTTAGAAAATCCCCCATGCGGAGGCATTGGAAAACTTCAAGCAGCAAAGGGGCGGTGCGCTTTTGAAAAAAGGGGTTGGCAGATGGAGCAGAGGAGAAAAAGGGAAAAACGGAGGGTGGATCAGTGCCAAATTATGGTTTTGTCCTCCCAAAATTTTCAGAGTTTTGCTTCAAGTGTTTGGGAATTCAGAACGTCGCAGGGAGACAATTTTTGGAAATGGAAGGGGGGGATGAGTAAAAAATTGGGAAAACTGTTTTGGATTTGTCCCAAGGTAGGGGGGGGCAATGGGTGGGGGGAAACTGGGAAAAAGCGGGGAAGGGGGACAGGAGGCAAAAAACCTTTGGGAGGGGGCAGAAGGGGAAGAAACTTGGGAGGGAACAGGGGAGGAAGGTACAGTACGGGAAAGGGGGGTAACCCTACATTTTGAAACCCAGAGCCAGTGAGGGGGGAAAACCAGGTAAAAGGGGACGGGGAAAGGTAAAAGAAAAGGGTGGAAAGGGGTTTGGAGGTGTTAAACGGACCTTTTTTTGCTTTGAGAAGTAGGGGGACAAAGGGGGAGGATGTTTCTTACGAGACCCCGGGTTCGCTACTGAGGTTTGTGAGGGGAGAACACGAAAGAAGCGAGACAGACTGAACGTTAAGGAAAGGGACATCTGGCCTAGGCAGAAAAAGAATTAAAAAGGAATGATTTAATGGAAGGGAAAACCCCGAGGTGGTTGCAAAAAAGGGTCCAGGAAGGGGGGGGTCTTTTTTGAAAAAAGGGAAAAAAAACACGGGTAGTCCCCCTTTGGAGGCGGAGATGAGAACTGCCAGGCATAAGTGAGACCTTCTGCCTCTTTGGGGTAACGGTTTTTCCCGCTCTTTTAAAGTAACTTGCCAACGGCCCAGATTTCAAAGGGGTTTAGCCTCATGAAAATTTAAAGGCAAGAGGGAGGCCCGATTGCAAGATGTATTAGAATGGTCTTCGGCACCACAACGGGGGCATTGGGTGATAGATTCTCCCAAAAAATTGTGGAGGGCCAAACGCCGCAATTTCTACACTTTTGCGGTGTGGGGAAATCCCCTTTCGAACTGGGTAAACTGATGCCCCTGCTACAAAAATTTGAGGTTTGGGATTTTAAAGGGCTTCAAAATTTAAAACGAGCCCTTTGGGCTGGGGTTTTTTTGTTTTTCCGCCCGCGGGCAGGGAGAACATAAGTGTCTACCTTGAGGTTTGGGGGGATCTTGGATTTTCCCGCTGTTCAAAAATGTCAGGGGCCACATGTCGGGAAATTTTTGTTAAAACTAGGGTTTGGGGGGGCAGAATTAGGGTTCCCACAACAAAAATTTTGGGGGAATTTTTTTGTTTTTCAATAGTGAAAGAACGTATCGATATGGGAAAGACGAAAAAGCTCTTTGGGGCCTGGGTAGCATTCTGTAGGGGTTGATAAGACTTACCCCCTTTTAAAGAGCAGGGAAAAAGAAATATCTTTACCAACAGGGGCGTGGGAGTGCCTTGCCAATACTGGGGTCGAAATATGCAGTAGAGGGAAGTGTCGTAAATTTGAAAAATTTTAGCCCAATGTGCGGTCTGAAACTGGCGGGGAAAAGGTAGTAAAGGGAAATTTTTCGATTTTTTTCTGAGAAAAAACGAGAAGGTGGAGAAGTATCATCAGCAGGTAATTTTCGTTGGCGTTCGGGCGTGGGCCCAAAAGTTGGTCCGACGTGGAAAGGGGCCGGCAAATTCAAAAATTTGGCCGAAACCAATAGGGGGAAAAGGACCGGGAAGCAAAGCGAGGAGACCCAAAGGTCAGATAAACAAAGGGGATTCAGTCGGGGCTCGTACCTGAAGGGGTGAGGAAAGCCCCGGCAAGGGGTACAGGGAATAAAGGATTTTTTCGAAAAGGGGTTTCCAAAAAGATGGGGCCCGGGGTCAGAATGGGGTGCGGTTCAAAAAGGGCCCCCGGGGGGGGTTAGCGGGTTTTCATGGACAAAGGGCTGCCATTTTTGGTTACTTTTTTCTTTTTGTTTTTAAAAAAAAAAGAAAAAAAAATTTAAAAATAAAAAAAAAAAAAAAAAAAAGGGGGGGGGGGGAATGGGGAGGGGATATTCCTGGGAAAGGAATGAAGCCCCAAAAATTTCCCCCCCTTGGCCCAAGGGGAAACCTCGCCCCGAAAAGTGCGCGGATGCGCATGGAAACCCTTTGCCATACCCAACCCATCATCCATAAACCGGAATCCGGGAATAGAAAACCCTAAAATCGGGCCCGAGCACCTCAAAGGACAAAAAGAGGGCGGGCCGGGAAATCTGCCACAAATTTTTCCTCCTTCGCCCCCCACCCCCGGGAAAACCGAAAGGGGGGTTTCCCAAGATAAAACCCTCCCCCGGAGAGAAACCCAAAGCCCCCCTCCGGATACCGGAGAGGGATCGGAACCCCCCCAGGCTTTTCCAGATTCCCGGCAAACTACGCCACCGCCAAGAAACCTCAACGGAATGGGATGGACCCCGGGGACCCCTTTTCCCCCTTACCTGGGAACTAGCGTGCCTGGGGAAAAAAAAAAAAAGGAAGGGCAAAAGGGAGAGGTGGGGAGGGGGGGGGAAAGGGAAAAAAGGGGGGGGGGGAAAAAGGGAAGGGGGGGGGGGGGGGTTGGGGGGGAAGGGGGGAAAAAAAACCCCCCCCCCCCCCCAAGGGGCCCCCCCCCGGGGGGGCCCCCTTTTTCCCCCCTTTTTTTTTTTTTTTTTTTTTTTTTTTTAAAAAAAAAAAAAATTTTTTAAAAAAAAAAAAAAATTTTTAAACCCCCCGGGAAAAAATTTTTTTTCCCCCAAAATTTTAAAAGAAAAAATTTTTTTTTCCCAAATTTTTGGGGGGGAAAAAAGGGGTTTTTAAAAAATTTTTCCCCCTTTTTTGGGGGGGGAAAAAAATTTTTTTTTGGGTTTTTTATTTAAAAAAATTTTTTTTTTTTTTTTTTTTTTTTTAACCCAAAAAAATTTTTTCCCCCCCCAAAAAAAAAAATTTTTTTTTTTTAAAAAAAAAAAAATTTTTTTTTTTTCCCCCCCCCCAAAATTTTTTTTTCCAAAAAAACCCTTTAAGGAAATTTAAAAAAAAAGGGTTTTCCCCCCTTTTTCCCCCCCCCCTTTTTTTTCCCTTTTTTCCCCCCCCCTTTTTTTTAAAAAATTTTTTTTTTAAATTAAAAAACCCCCCCAACCTTTTTGGGCCCGGAAAACCCCCCCCAAAAAAAACCCCCCCCCCCCCTTTTGGAAACCCCCCTTCCCCAAAAAAAAAAACCCCCTTTTTCCCCCCCCCAAAAAAAACCC